TGCTGCAGATTTGGTTGCTCTGCTCCCGGCTGTCTTTGATGACTTTCCAGTGTTCTTTGACCTCTTCTCCTTCTCTTTCGCTTTCACCTTCTTTCTCTTCATTGCCTCCACCAGCTGTGTCGCCTCCTCGTCCTCTGAACTGTTTGTATCCGACGACCAGCACTCCTCTTTGTCCGAACCACCCACGCTATCACTGTCAATGTCTTCTCTGTTGCCCACCGTCTTCACCGGCATTACGTACAGCGCCTTTGTTAACATGGCCTTGCGTTGCTCTTTGGAATCGTCCACCAGTATGGCAGCATTGCGATCCTCTGCGGCTACACCTGGGGTAAGCCTCATGTTGCACAATGCATATGTTGATACGTACTGAACTGTGTCTCAGCAAACTGGGCCATGAAGTCCAGCAATTTGTTTCTGGAAACGGTCCCGGTCCCAGTGAGCCCATTGGGGCTTCCCCTCGCCTGTGTACAACACGCTACATATCCATCTGAACGTGTCTCATTGCGCCAATGCGTGGTACTCACTGCTTGGCCCTCACTTCGCCGTTGAACTCCGGCATTGGACCAGCCACAACCAGTGTAGCTAGAAGTCCCGTGGTGTCGTATATCCCCTTCAGCAATGGCATAATGAAGCCCGGCAGTTGCATCACAGCCCTGAACGTCATCAGTCGTGATCCATAACCAGCATCGCATCAATGTACCAATGACGACTCTCCGCGTCGCGCGGTGGTCCGTTCTTCAGCTCCTCCATGTATTTGTCCTTTGCCACTTGTGCCTGCTCATGCGCCCTGTCCTTCAACACGTCTTGCTGATCCTTTGGCAGCGCATTGTAAACCTCACGTGTGACCTCAGCACGGAACCCCACCCGCAGCCCAGTAGCCATTGTCTCTGCTGTGCCAAAAGCTATCGCCGCACGTTTCTGCTCCACCGCCGGCGCAATGAGTTTGCTATAAGACTCGTGCATCAACTGTTGGAAGCCCTGCCGTGCCTTTGGGGGTTTCTTCAGACCAGCAAGCCGACCGAGTAGGATTGCATAGGCACTCTTCCGTGGGTCCAGCGTTGCCTCACGGCGTTGCTTCAGTGCATGTTGGATGCGATATACATACCACCGATTGATGCGCTGAGCCAGCACTCAGTAAACAGACGTTGATCCATCTTTGATGATGACCTACCAGATTGAGCACCTCGATGCGCTCACGCTTCTTCTGTTCAAGTTCTGGAGACAGTTTCTTGACGACTATGGGCGCCTTTGGGTTGTACGGACGTAGTTCTGGCTCCTCGTGGTCTTTGGTCTGCCAGGGTATTGCAGCGTGGTAATGGTTGAAGGCTGCTTGCAGCCTCTCGCGCTCTTCGGCCCAAGTACCTGAGAGACGCGCAATGGTGGTTCCCAGCCTGATATGGTAAGTCGGCACTGCCTGGACCTGTCTTATCATCAACATCATATCTTATCGGTCTCGCCCAAGAAGCCCGAAATTCATTGACAACGTCCTGTGTGCGTCTTTGGACCAACTGGAGGTTCAAAACCCTGCAGAAGGTTTTCATATGTGGTGGGGTCTGAAAATTATTTGCTTCTGTGAAGGATTAAGTGATTTCATAATGCAACCTTTTGCTGAACTACGAGAACTAGGAATACTTGTACTGCTTTACAGCCCACTTTGCACTATCTCGTACATTTCCCTTCCCTGTTCTGGAAACTTGTCCCGTATTAGCTTTGGTATTAGATATCTTATTTCTCTACTTTTTTGGCTCTATGATTGCACCCGAGTGTTGCAACATGTGTGAACACACCATTTACAGCCAGGTGCTGAATTGTTCCTTAACAATTAGATCGAAGCTCAATCTGGTACGTATTAGGTATTCAGACCAGTATAGTGATCTGAATACATGTCCCCATCCTTCTATGAAACATAGAACCCACCCTACCATGCAGAAGCAACATATATGAACTCAGTCAGCATGACTTTCAAAGATTCTGCGCAAATTTATTAATACCGGTGATAGGCTGGCTACCAGACGCGCTCTGCACCAGCTCTGTAAGGGCGTATTTTTGCGCTTTTACAGAGTTTACTCCTGAACCACTCGGTGTATCGTGTCGCGGGTGACAGTGTTGCGCTCAGTAGGACTTAAGGGTCTACTGCCCAGTCGGCGACTGTGGATAGTGTCGACGATAGCAAGGCAGTCAGACCCCTACTGTGGAACTGGTCTTATGAGTCTATACCAGGCTCAGGGCCATTAGTGACGAACGCTTGGACCGCGACCATTCCCCAAAAAGGGATCTGTTGTTGCGTCAACTTCTCAAAAAGGGTCATTCTCTGCAGATGGGAACTTGGGCTGAAGGACTGAGCAATGTGCGACGTTCTCAATAATACAACTACTACTGGACAGGACTTGGCGTTACGAGATCTAAACCATCTTGTCGCGGCAACTCCCGGTTTTGAGTTGGTTGTTTCCTCAGATCGTGCCACGACGACGACTTGTCACATGTCAGGATCCATTCGATCACGGGACATTGTGGACGCGTTGCGGTGACACTCCCAGGTGTCACGGCGAGTCGCGCCCATACCCAAACACACTAAAATCGACACGGCTAGATCCGTGAACCGAGCCATGTGGGAAACGACCGGCGTGCCTGGGGCCATACGGCTTCTTGGGGCGCCCACGTTGGACTCACCTGCCAAGACATACCCGTTGGCCAATCCAGCGTGTCGTATTCCAAAAGTATGACGCGGTGGGTTGACCCACATCAAAAGTATCATATGGACTATGGGGCGGGGTCCTGATCACTCAGGTCCTGTCCGATCATTCAACTTTTCAATTACCCTAAAAGGCAACCGATCTTAGATAGCGTAGCTACTATGCAGTTGTACAGGACTTTACTAAGCATTGTCGTAGACAGTATAAGTAGCACGTCGTTTCTTTGTATTAAGAAGCTCTCCCCCGGACTGTGAATCACTCTCATTTCAGATTGTTTTGTACAATTTGCGTGCTGCGTGATTCCACCCTAAGAAGTTCTGCTACCCCTGCCCGGTCGCGACGAGTTGCTCCCTGAGCACTTGTAGCTACTGTGATTTGAGTTTGAGTTTTGAGACATCAGAAAGTCGGATTCGCCGCATCTGGTATAGTCGCGGCATTTAGTGTCGTCGCCTTCGGGCTTTGTTGAGATCGTTTCCACACCTCTAGCTTGGCAGTGCGTCGACTAGTTGTGCTCGGGTTGTTTTGGTCAGTTGGCAGTGCGTCGACTTGAGAACTTTGGTTCCACACTTCTTGCTTGGCAGTGCGTCGACAAGTTGTGCTCGGGTTTTGGACATTGGATATTGGCTGTTAGTTGGCAGTGCGTCGACGCGGCATTTTGGCTTACTAGTTGGCAGTGCGTCGACTCAGTATATTGGTTGTATCGGTTGGCAGTGCGTCGACTTGATATTTGGGCTTTGCGTCGCCATCTAGACGCTGTCGCTACAAGGGATCTTAATACTTCGTATTAAGTTCTGACTTGTTATATTGTTGGTTGTGGATTGGATTAGTGTTGGTTGTGCTCGTATAGAAGATATTGGTTGAGATACCATTGTTTTGCTACATATATATATCCTTGTCGTCGACTTCGTCTCCGCGACTATTGGATCTGTGTCTATTGAGAGTTGTGATACTGGTGCTCTGTCCACCCCGAAGCCCTCGCATCTTTCACACACTGAGAAGCTGATTACGAGGAGTGTGAACGTGTTTATATTTGGGTTTACTTTCATAGTAGATTCACTTGTGAGCACGCCCTCAGCATTTCAGCGCGGGGCTGTGTGGGCGGGTTGCTGGACATGGAGATGAAGCTACGGGTAGCGCAGCACGAGAACTCACTCACACTGGTTCGGGCGCGTCTGCACGCGAAGAGGCACCTGATCAGCTTCCGCAATGCAAACGTGACGGGCCAGAACCAGTCCACAAAGGCACGGACACTCATCAGCGAGGTTGGGGAGAAGGTTACAGCGAGCGCGAACCGGTATCAAAGGGGAAGGGAGGCTCTGGTGGCGGCCGGTTGCTTGGAAAAGTTCCAGCATCTACGAGAGCTCAAGGATGAGCATCTGCAGATGAGTGGTGCAGCTATGGAGACGGACGCAGAGAGGACGGATGCTTCGACAGCAATGAAGATTGGGGCGCTGGGAGGAGGGAAAGCACCGAGGCAGGACCAAGGATTGTCGACGCAGGTGATATCATGGATTTGGACCGCGCCCGGAGCTTTGGACAACGAGGAGAAGGATCTGCATGACTGTGAGTTCCCGGTGCAATAGGTACTGGATGGGACTGACATCATCACAGCAATACGGGTGGAATGGAGTTGGGCGCTGGCGCGTCGCGATAGGTGGACCGAGGAGGTCCTGCTGCTGAAGGAGGAGATGCGTCGAGTGTGTGCTTATCTGGAATGGCAGGCCGATTGGTGGAAGACGAAGTCGTCGGGGAAGGTGAGCTCATCACGTGAAGTGGAGGCAGGGGCACGGGCGTTTGCGCTGAAGCAGTCAGCGTGGCATCTGGAGTTGCGCACCTTTTTGCAGAACAAGTGGCAAGGCAGCATCGGGGAAGCAAACAAGCCAAATATGTACAGCGCAGGCGTAATGATATAGTGTAGAATACGATCAGACCAGATATGATGCCGTAGGCGATGACAGGCGGGCGGGACAAGCGCGGGAAACCGACAATATGTACGAGATATAGTGAGGTCAGTGGCCGACGAGCGTCCACAGCCGTGCGGAACGAGTAGCTGTGATGGTAGATCACTGCGGTGTCAATGTGATCTGCCGCGATGGATGCCGAGAAGGTATCACACATGGGGCGGCTGATGGACGTCGCGTGATACATCGCGTGATCATGCGAGAAGACTAAAATGCATGGCTACCATCCATAAAATAGTGTATGGTTTTTATGGCTACAGCCATGGCGTTAGGCTAAATCCTAGCACTACGGGTGCATTCTCCGCGGCGTTCACGATCTCATCAGACAGCAACGACAACTCAAGATGGGAAGAGAGGGTTCCAAATGATGGTCTAGGTCGGAGCGATGACCGATCGTCATCCTCGCGAAAATAAAATTGGAATACTGGGTCTATTTATGTCTATAATGTAACCACCGCGCCGCTCAGCCGTCAGACCGTCGTGAAGATGAAGGACGGGCTCGACTTGTTCAGGAATCCCCACACGCTGTTCTCCTTCAGCTGCTGCTGTTTCCACTGGTTCAAGAACGCAGGGAACACAGGGATCGCCCCGCGCAGACTGATGTCATGCGAGGCGAGCACGAAAAAGTCCGGATCCGCATCAAAGTTCGCAAGCTTCACGATCGAGATCTCCGAGGTGACTGGATCGGCGTAGAACGAGCCTGCAGTGTCTGCCACGGCGAAGAGCTGTTCCGGTCGCGAGGTCAGGTCGAATACGCCCGAGCTGCTCTTGGGCGACCAGAAGTAGTCGGTGGAGATCGCCTTGGCGTCCTCGAGCAGATGGGCGGGGCAGGGGTACTGCTGCTGGAAAGCGGGACGGGGACGAACCTCGCCGGGATGGTGGAAGGTGTCGGCACCGAGGACAATGAACGAAGAGTTGGTGGTGCGAGCCAGCGCCGTGATATGGCCCGCCATATGCTTTTGAAAGAGATCAGAAAAACGGCCATATCAAACTTGATGACATACACCAGGAGTATCCATGAGATAGAAGCTTCCGTCTCCAAAGTAGTCGATGGCTTTGAGGCCACTGAACGTGAGGTTGGCCTTTGAGAAATCGATCTTGGTCACAGTGCGGCCGCTGGTCGAGCGATCAGGGGGCTAGTCCAGCGAAAGAGAGGCGAACCAATCACTCACGCGAAATCCTCAGCCTTCAAGCTCGCGGTGGGAACTTGAGGGTAAGTATCCATGTCGGTCTCGGATCCGATGATCAGCTCGGTGCTGTTCGGGAACTTGGACATGTCTCCCTAGAACATGTTCAGTCGACGGAAATCAGCCGGTAACGAGTGCTTACGATGTGGTCGAAATGGGCGTGGCTGGCAAGTGTCAGTGATGGATCCAACATCCGAATAGAGAGGCCGCTCACCTCCAGATCACAGCGTTGATGGTGTTCAGAGGAATTCCGGCCGTCTTCAAAATGCCCGTGATCTCCCCGTTCGGCTCATCGAGTTTGGCGACGAGTCCGGGAAAATAGCTGGCGACGGTGGGCGAAAAGTTCTGGGTGTCGTTCCTCATCCCCAGATCGAACAAGATCCGTTTTCCGTTGTGCTCGATCAAGAACGAGAGCATCGACGAGGTCATGTTCTCCCGGCCGGTCAGCACAGGATGCACAAACAGCGCCATCGCATTGGCCATTGTGGTCGTTCCCACATCGAAGACGCGCACATTGACAGTGGCGTCAGACTGGGGGATGCCAAAGTCCTGGAAGGAGGCCCGGGCAGAGAGCGCCAAAGAGAGGAGGGAGAGACTGACTGTGTGCAAGAAAACCATGGTGAAGATTGGTTTCCGATATCTTACACTTATAAGGGACGCCTGTACTCATATGGGCTTCGTCATTGGTCTCGAGCGCGTTATTTGGATTATTGCATGCAAATGCGAACTTGGCCTGGGCCGATGCGTCTCCCAGCGACAACAGAGAGCGGGAACATGAGGCCGAGAAGCGGACCGTGGTGCGCCTGTCGCACGTGCCATATGGAGGTATAAGCGGCGCAGTCCGAATCCTTCCAAAACGGGGGCATGGAGGTGATAATGAAAACTCGCAAGGCGGCAAGGCCACCTTACGCAGCTCTCATTCTGCCGACAGGGCCAGCTGGCCTAGCCGCTTGGCTCGACCAATCGCATTCACATGTTGTAAACGGCCCTGTAGGGCCCTTATCAGGGTATGGTCGCCAGCAAGTCACAGAATCAAGTGCACACCCGCGATCCAGTATCGGTGGGATCCCCTTTTCTGTTGGGTAACCTATGGCTTCCTTGTTTCGTCTTTCAATCTCGGTCCCGTTTGTTTCTCCCTCCGAATCGGCCGATCATGATCGCCTATGAGGGTCCCGATGACGACGCATGGTAGAAACCACGCTACGCTGCTGGTCAGTTCAAAGTTGGTGGCGCGGGGTCATGCGCCGATGCCTGGTGATCATCAAGAAGCTGCGCGCGTCATTTGCGCGCTTTGAAATATCTGAAAAAAGCTCGCTGGAGGCCGAAAGGTTGCGACTAGCTCAAGTCCTTGACCCTTTTGATGTCGACGCTTTCCGCGGAACAAGTTTCGACGAGATCATCCCGAGTTTTCTAAACAGCTGTCAATATATCAACAACGGCCCATATCCGAGGCGTAACTGACTGGAATCAGTTCTATTCCTGTCTGACTACTGAAGAACACCGTTCTCGTCGGCAGGTAAATCCTGCGGACATGTTTTGAGTTGCAAAATGACTGTCTGAGTCCGAACCTTCTTCGCAATAAACCAAACAATGCTTACCACCGAGTGCATCCAATTCTTTACCCAACGCGCTCTGAGATGTTGCCGTCGTTGTTTTCAGTCGCAGAATCCCGGGGTATAGCCAAGTCCACGTTCTATTTTTGAACGAAGATAACGTCAAATTCTTCCGGATGATCGACCCCGTCATCAGGATTGTCACCATTGCAAGCGTCTTCTCCATATTCGAAGTCGATTTGTGTAGCTGCCCGATAGCAGCGCGTCGAGCAGTGTGGACCTCTAGAGATTCGCCTCGAACATGTGTAAGCATATGACGTGACGGTGGATTAGATTTCACGTGGTGCAATCTCGAGTTTGCCTGCTCCCGAAGGGCTTGGATCAGTTCCGGAACACTCGGTTTCCGAGACTTGTGTCGGCGAATTCCCGCCAGACATTGGATCGATTGTTGTTTCGATGAATCGCTGACTTGTGGGACCGTGTGTGGAAATTCTAGAATCTATATCGGCGCAAGTTCTGGAGCTCAAGACACAACGATTGATTCCTCTGTATCGGTGCACATGACAAACGGACGTTTTTCTCATTTCCAAACGCTCGGAAGCCACTTGCCTGTTCATCCAGCTGTCATTTGATCCATTGAGCACAGTGGGGAACAGATTCGCCAGAAACGAGCTCCAAACGGTCGAGAACTTTCTTGCCCGAAAGGGCAATTCCACAGGGTTTGTGGTTATAGTTGGATCAACGAGTTGGAGAGGGGCATTCGTGTCTGTAGCGGAGGGAAGGAGGGGCGATGGCACGTGGTCGCATTTGAAAATGACAGCTTGTCGCACGTGATCGACTGGCAGATCAAAATATTACCGAACACTCTCGAAATACTTCGACTATCCACGAAGAAGTTCGATTCTTCCACGGGTGAGCCTCAAAGCTGAATGAGTCAGTAGAATGACTTCAGAAAGCGGTTTCGTCAGCAGTACAGCAGAGCTTGATGGCATTTGTCTCCACCCGGAAGAACTGCTTATCCGATCGGCGAAAGTCTGGTCTAAATTGGGTCCCACGTGCGCTGCGGGCCTGCCAACAACAATCCAAAATTTGAAACTTGTCTCGCTTAAACCCTCTGCAGTAGTTCGAGCCGCGTCTCTTCCGAGTATTCAGAGCGACTAACCTAGACTCAAGTAGAATCAGTGGTGTTAGACGACGGATTCTATTTGAGTCAGTTGCTAGCTGCTATGGCCGGCTTGGAATCCTCACAAAGCGTTGCCTCTGGCCTACCCTTCTGAAGCCGGTCTGCGTAAAGGAGCTTCGCCACCACGGTCTCTCACCGTACCACCGACCTCAGCCACTTCCTCTATTTCAGGTCCGCTATTCCCGGCTACGGCTAGCGCATGGCATTAAATCCACAGCTCCATCTAATACGATTGAAGCGGCCAATTGGTCCGGTCGGCAGAATGAGAGCTGCGTAAGGTGGCCTTGCCGCCTTGCGAGTTTTCATTATCACCTCCATGCCCCCGTTTTGGAAGGATTCGGACTGCGCCGCTTATACCTCCATATGGCACGTGCGACAGGCGCACCACGGTCCGCTTCTCGGCCTCATGTTCCCGCTCTCTGTTGTCGCTGGGAGACGCATCGGCCCAGGCCAAGTTCGCATTTGCATGCAATAATCCAAATAACGCGCTCGAGACCAATGACGAAGCCCATATGAGTACAGGCGTCCCTTATAAGTGTAAGATATCGGAAACCAATCTTCACCATGGTTTTCTTGCACACAGTCAGTCTCTCCCTCCTCTCTTTGGCGCTCTCTGCCCGGGCCTCCTTCCAGGACTTTGGCATCCCCCAGTCTGACGCCACTGTCAATGTGCGCGTCTTCGATGTGGGAACGACCACAATGGCCAATGCGATGGCGCTGTTTGTGCATCCTGTGCTGACCGGCCGGGAGAACATGACCTCGTCGATGCTCTCGTTCTTGATCGAGCACAACGGAAAACGGATCTTGTTCGATCTGGGGATGAGGAACGACACCCAGAACTTTTCGCCCACCGTCGCCAGCTATTTTCCCGGACTCGTCGCCAAACTCGATGAGCCGAACGGGGAGATCACGGGCATTTTGAAGACGGCCGGAATTCCTCTGAACACCATCAACGCTGTGATCTGGAGGTGAGCGGCCTCTCTATTCGGATGTTGGATCCATCACTGACACTTGCCAGCCACGCCCATTTCGACCACATCGTAAGCACTCGTTACCGGCTGATTTCCGTCGACTGAACATGTTCTAGGGAGACATGTCCAAGTTCCCGAACAGCACCGAGCTGATCATCGGATCCGAGACCGACATGGATACTTACCCTCAAGTTCCCACCGCGAGCTTGAAGGCTGAGGATTTCGCGTGAGTGATTGGTTCGCCTCTCTTTCGCTGGACTAGCCCCCTGATCGCTCGACCAGCGGCCGCACTGTGACCAAGATCGATTTCTCAAAGGCCAACCTCACGTTCAGTGGCCTCAAAGCCATCGACTACTTTGGAGACGGAAGCTTCTATCTCATGGATACTCCTGGTGTATGTCATCAAGTTTGATATGGCCGTTTTTCTGATCTCTTTCAAAAGCATATGGCGGGCCATATCACGGCGCTGGCTCGCACCACCAACTCTTCGTTCATTGTCCTCGGTGCCGACACCTTCCACCATCCCGGCGAGGTTCGTCCCCGTCCCGCTTTCCAGCAGCAGTACCCCTGCCCCGCCCATCTGCTCGAGGACGCCAAGGCGATCTCCACCGACTACTTCTGGTCGCCCAAGAGCAGCTCGGGCGTATTCGACCTGACCTCGCGACCGGAACAGCTCTTCGCCGTGGCAGACACTGCAGGCTCGTTCTACGCCGATCCAGTCACCTCGGAGATCTCGATCGTGAAGCTTGCGAACTTTGATGCGGATCCGGACTTTTTCGTGCTCGCCTCGCATGACATCAGTCTGCGCGGGGCGATCCCTGTGTTCCCTGCGTTCTTGAACCAGTGGAAACAGCAGCAGCTGAAGGAGAACAGCGTGTGGGGATTCCTGAACAAGTCGAGCCCGTCCTTCATCTTCACGACGGTCTGACGGCTGAGCGGCGCGGTGGTTACATTATAGACATAAATAGACCCAGTATTCCAATTTTATTTTCGCGAGGATGACGATCGGTCATCGCTCCGACCTAGACCATCATTTGGAACCCTCTCTTCCCATCTTGAGTTGTCGTTGCTGTCTGATGAGATCGTGAACGCCGCGGAGAATGTTTCATTTTAGATCTTCGCCCAGTCGATCCCGGACAGTGAGACCAACGCAGCGCTGAGCAACATAACCTGAACATTCCTTTTGAAAAGATGTTACGCTCAAGATCCATCGTCACCATGAAAAAGGCTGCACGGAGAGCAAACACTTCAACTCAATTGAAGATACCTAGCCTTCTTTCTTCCTTTTGAAGCTGTCCGTCTTACCGTGCGGCATTATCCGTTTTAAGATTGATGCTGTTCGGATGCTGCCGATGTCTCGTGCACGTGACCCCATCGACCTCGTCCCAATTTTCTCTCTTTCTTCTTTCTGGGACGGGACATCGATGTGTATTTCGATCTTACCAGATCATCTGACCTCCATATTCTCCTTCAAGGCCCTGAAGTCTATGACTCAGCCTCATGAAGGATTGCTAATGGAAGGAAATACACTTGGTAACCGAAGTTCTCTCACGAGGCATCCGGTTTTACACAATATCATGTGTGGTGTCTCGGCTCAGCGGTTTAGGAACCGATTCGCCATCTTATTCGTCACGCTTGCCGGTCCTTGTCGCAACCTTCGGCGTCCAACGCTTTAGACATTCATTTCCAGCGCTTACCAAGCTCCCTCCGGCATTGGCAACATCTTTCCTCCATTTCAATCGAGTATCTACTGCCTGAAAACCCTCGTGGAGAGATATTAACTTAGAAATATGATTACATGTGTGCTGCGCAACTCTTGGTATCGCAGGGATTTGAGAGGCCAAATGTCTCTAAAATTGTTTGCCGGATATACTTAGACAGCTGCTGAATCTTGCCCTACCCGTCGCTTGCGATTTTTTGATCAATAAGCTCGTGAGTTTGTTTCCGTGGTTCACGCAAGAGGATCCCTGTAGACAGCCTGAAACGGTGCATGTGATTATTTCGTTTCATTCTGATGAAAAGGGCGTGAGTTGGAATTTTACACGCTCTCCAAGGGTTCCATTGCGGGCTGGAACGAGTCTCTTTCACATGAATCTCTGGAACGACCGATCCGGACCACGTGTTGTTTGTTGTTTGTACGACATCGTTTGCCCGGATATGATTTTGTTACCGCGATGGGAGACACCAGGAAAGCGCCGTGAAAGTCAACTCACGGTCATCCGCTCTGAACCCGTACCTCTAGGTGCAGGTTGAAACCCACAGGTTAAGGTTAGCGTCGGATTCAACCTGAATTACTGTCAATCGAGTTTTTTGCAAGTAGCCAGAGCCACACACCAGCCGAAGCGTTCTGCTACCGGCATGCGAACGCGAGCTTGTCTGGATTCCACCGAGAGAACCACAACACGCGTTGATTTGCAAGGAGTCGAACCAGATGAGCTAAGCGCCCTGTTTGACCTAGCGGCCGATTCAGGCCGCCCTAGGGGGATTTGCAAGCTTTTCTCGTCATTCCCCTCCTCCTTTTCGGAAGGCTATCCGACGGCAGCATTACCGAATATCTCGTCATTGGTCATTTAGGACGCGACGGGCTGAGTCGGAGCAGGTTTGTGATTTGATGTACCCGCGTCCTCTTGTTGCAGGGCGCCCATGCGTCAAACGCGAACATCTGAATTCGTCATACGGGCTCAGAAAAAAGAACTCCGATGGCCCAATGACGAGAATCCTCTGAGGCAGGGTGTGCGTTAAAAGGCTTCCGCGTTTTCGAGAGAGCCACGCATCATGGTCTCCCCTCGCACAGCTGTTGTTTTTCTCTCTTTAGCGCTTTGCGCTCGCGCATCGTTCCGCGACTACGGAATTCCCGAGTCAGACGCGACTGTCGACGTACGCGTCTTCGATGTCGGAACTTCCTCGGTCACCAATGGCACGGGTCTAATTCTGCACCCTGTACCGGCCGGCCGAGAGACCATCACTTTCCCCTTGTTCGCGTTCTTGATCGAGCACCAAGGGAAGCGGATCATGTTTGACTTGGGCATGAGAAACGACACCCAGAATTTCGCGCCTAGCATCGCCAGTGTGTTCGCCGCGAACATCTCCAAGCTCGAGGAGCCCAATGGAGACATCACGGGAATGCTGGAGGCGGGCGGAATCCCTCTGAATACGATTGATACAGTCATCTGGAGGTGGGTAGTCTCTGTCTGGTTTCTGATTCATCATTCATCTTCGCCAGCCACGCGCATTTTGACCACATCGTAAGTAGCCCCGCCGGCTGATTCTTTTTTCGACTGAAGTTGTTCCAGGGAGACATGTCCAAATTCCCGAACAGCACCGAACTCGTCATTGGGGCCGAGACCAACACGGACACTTATCCTCAAGTTCCTACTGCAAGTTTGAAAGTTGAAGATCTTGCGTGCGTGGCCGATCCCCCTGTTGTTCCATCGGCACCCGGCTCACTTGACACGGACAGCGGACGCACTGTGACCAAGATCGACTTCTCGAAGGCCAATACCACATTCAGTGGCCTGAAAGCTGTCGACTACTTTGGAGACGGGAGTTTCTATCTTCTGGACACCCCTGGTGTATGTCGGAATTTTCGTAAAGTGACGGCTTGTCTCATCAAACACAACAGCATCTGGCTGGTCATATCACCGCGTTAGCCCGGACCACCAGCTCCTCGTTCCTCGTCCTTGGCGGCGACACATTCCACCATCCCGGCGCAATTCGCCCCCGGCCAGCGTTCCAGCAACAGTACCCTTGCCCCGCCCATCTGCTCGAGGACGCCAAAACCATCTCCACAGAGTACTTCTGGTCTCCGAAGAGCCGTGCGGGCGCATTCGATCTTCCCTCGCGCCCGGAGCAGCTCTTTGCCCTGTCGGACTCGCCCAACTCGTTCTTCGCCGATCCGGTCGTCTCGCAGATCTCCGTCGCAAAGCTTGCCAACTTTGATGCCGATCCGGACTTCTTCGTCGTCATCTCCCATGACATCAGTCTGCGCGGGGCGATCCCCGTGTTCCCCGCATACCTGAACCGCTGGAAGCACGATCAACTGAAGGAGAATACGGTGTGGGGATTCCTGAACAAGTCGAGCCCGTCTTTTATGTTTACTCCCATCTAACCCCTGCTCATCTTAAAACTGGCATGAATAAATTCTTGTCTTTGGCATCGAGAATACACCGTGATTCGTGGAGCTAATCTTCCTAACCCGAGACGAAACACGAGAAAGAGTTCATGTTGTCGTTGCTGAAATCGTGAACAACGGAGAACATGAAACAGAGAAACCATGGATCACTCACACGGGGACAGCCACACCCGGTGCCGGGCTAACAAACATAACTTGAGCATGCAGGGAACACAGCCATGGAGGAAACACAACGCACGCATAGACCACGTTGCGCAGATCCGGCGATCCTGGATAGCCCAGCGTCGCCGGGGACGACGAGCAGTGGTAGTCCGCCGACAGGTCGCACACGGTCCCCTGGTCGGGCCCGAAACTCGAAACCTGGTCTTGATGCTGCGCATCGAGGGTGTAGCATTTGTTGGGCACCAGGTTCGTCCAGTGCGCGCAATTCGTCTGGAAGTTGATGTCGTTCTGCGATCAGTCATGAGCGTCTCGATCGTCAACGTCGAAGTTCCGGGAGGAGTGAGCGGGGATATTTACACAGAAGAACGCCCCGAGACCGTAGGTCAGCTGCGACAAGTGAGCGATTCATATTTTGACACCCCACTGTCCTGTACCTGGAAATTCGCCGCCAACACCATGGAGAGAAGGCGCTTGAGCTTGATCGAAGACATGTCTCGAGAGTACGTGCTGAACACCGAGATGGTTCTGGCTGTTATATACGCCTCCAGGACCACCTCGGGCATAGCTGCGCCCATTGACAAAGCGCTTATTCATCTCGGCGTCGAGCTCAAAACGGCCCATTGAGTGGCTGGAATTCATTAATATGGTTCAGGTTAGTAGAGACCTTTTCAGTAGGCCCGTCCATTGAACTTTTCAAGCCATCGGCCAGGCACCGAAAATTCAGCTCTAAGCCCGAACCTACACGACGGCTTTGCAGGAGATAGCATTTGACGATGACAGGCAAGTGATAAGCATAGTATCAGTCCATACTTACTGGAGAAATCTATTTCCATCAGGGATTGTTGAAGTACAGAGCACGAGGAGCTACGGTTTCAGCTGTAGAACCCTCGAGGCCAATCATGATTTATGAACTGCTAGACCCAAAGATAAACTCGCGAGAGTCTACTTTAGAAATGAGTGGAAAGCATCGTTCATCGTGAATGACGGCTGCTGAGGCGCTGAGGCACGACCAGTTACCGGCAATTGCCGCTTAAATATGATCTTCACGTGCTCTGTGGCTGAGCATTCAAACATTCTTCTCCAAAGCTTATGTGCTCATGAACTGGTGATCGCAGAACTCCATCTCGCCCTCCAACTGACGACACTTCGACGCATATCCAGAGCTTGCGTCTCCAGCTTCTCGCTGAAGAAAAAAAAAAACATCCTACTCAGATTCATCCCCGGGCCCTTGTAATGATTGGTGACGCAGAACGACTTGGATTGGACATCGCCACGTCCGCGGTCTCTGCATGGGTCCAGATTCTTTTTGTCCTGTGGCAGAAAGAGGCGTCGATTGATTGCCGTGCATACTTGAGTACCCACGCCTACCCACGCTTTCCAATCGCGCTCCACGGAGCCCGAAGCCCATTCCAGACGCCGGTTCCAGTCTCGTTGTCGAGCTCCCGCGCTTGGCCGCCTGGTATGCAGCGTGTTCCATGCGTGATTTTCTCTCGAGTGCGGGTGTGAAAATGCGCGAACACCATATCCGTCAAGTTCGCACCCCTGTTGTACGCGGGTGGTATCGGCAGTTGCTGTGGCCGGTGAGTCGTGACGGGCTGACATCGTCGCAAGTTGACATTCTCAAATAACCCACATCACGGAGTAATACCGAGTCTTCTGTGTATGCATCGCATCTTCTTTTCCTTCGCGCTGGATGATGGATTGACCACGGTTTGCTCTCCCCAATGCATATGCACCGCGCGCTGTCAGCACCCGGTGCTACGCTGTGCTACGACCCGTCTTCTCGGTTCACTCGATTCTGCCAGGTGACACCGGCCGAGCGTTTCCAGGTCCTTCGACTCTAGAATTCTCGGCAGTTTTGTTAGCGCCGTCGTCGTGAGGCGGTTGATGAGCATTGAACGGCTCCTGACTTTTTCCGTAATCTCCGTGCACATTCCCTCGCCTCTCTTGGAACGGTTTTAGTCTTGTCAGCACTGTACGAATTATAGGATAACGACTCGGAGTCCAAATCGACGAGGATCTGCTCATGTCACACCTCTCCCGCTTCAAAAGCCCAGTGTTTCTGCACTGCGATCCTGTTCAAGTCCCAGGCTCTCCTGGGTGTACCTTCCATCAGAATACATGCTTCTAATACTTCCACGGAGACTTTTATCGCGCTTCTAATTTGAACAGTGTACAGATTCTGCCAAGACTTTGTCACGTGTCGTGACTGATTTGATCTTAACTCTCAACTTGCATTGCACTTGCACCCACCAGACCTCTCGCTGGTCATTGCTAGAACATCCGAGACTAGTCTAAAAAGATCTCCGAATTATGCATCCAAGGAGCAGGGGACAGTTCCACGCACACTGGCAACCGACGTGCCGTAAGCGCGGTAACTGTGCGTCGTCTATACATCGGCTCTCTCGCGAGTCGTGGGACTGCAGCCATGGACAGAGGCACGGTAACATGCGCACTACGTGCTAGCGAGACTCCGCTTCCTGCCCAATTCTCACGGCTGTCCAGCAAAGAGCGCTTTATCCACAGGGCTCTCGCGTGTTCTCTCTCTCTCTCCTCATCTCTCTCTTTTTCCTTCGCTTTTCCACCCTCTGTAGTTGATGCTATGGCGGACACGATTGAACACTCCGTGATCCAGTTCAGCCCCGCGTCGAAGGCGTTCATGGCGAACCGAATCACAGCCCTCGGTGCTTGGGTGCGGCGTCCCTTTCCCTCCGCCCGCCGACGCCACGCGTAGCCTGATTTCGATGCTGCAGGTCATCGCCGGTTTTGTGGACGCCATCCTATTTGGCATCGTCGCCTGCCAGGTAGTGACGTTCTTCCAGTCCTATCGCCGCCACAAAGGAATCGAGAGGTGCGCTTTTGCAGCCCCTTGCCGTCTTTGCAGGTCTTGATTGTGTTTTCGAAGGCATTATGGACGACTCGTGCTGGTTGTTACGGTCCTGGCCACGATGAAGGTGCGCTCTGTTCGTGGCTCTTTGATGAACGCTCGCGCTTAGTTATACATGAAAGACGGCGCAGTCCCTGGGCATCATCTGGGCGCAAACTGTCGTCCGTGAGTGTCGTCGAGCTATCTCTGCGATGTGTCTGGTAGGAGCTGACACCACACAGAGTGGATGAACCCCGATGTTGCGCAGACGTTGGTTGCAAAAGCCTGGTTTGAAGTCAGCACACCGACGATGGTAGGCATAAGTCGACTGTACAGCCACCTGTGTCTCATCTGCCTGTAGACTGCCATTACGGCCATTATCGTGCAGAGTTTCTTCACGATGCGGTTTTACATGCTGCTCCGCAACTTCCTGTACTGCATCCCGATCTTGATGTCCATGATGTTGAGCTTCGCGGCCGTATGTCTTTCAGTACGCTCCTTCCCTCCGCTGTCCAGCGACGTGCGCTCATGCACTTTCAGCTCAACAGTATCGTGACGAACAACACCAAGGCCAAGATCATGTGGCTTCTGGTGCATCTCGTGTGCACGTTCTGCACGGACTTTATGATCACCGTCGGCACGTGTCTGGCTCTGCAGAAGCGCAACTCGGGCGGGCTTGCGTCGACGACGAACCTCATCAACAGACTGATGCGACTCGTCTTTGAGAGCGCCATCCCTCCCACGGTGGGCTCAGCTCGTTGCCAGCCTGGATTGATCGCTTACTGGCCGGCGCAGATCGCTGCAGGTATTGACCTCATCATGACACAAATACTCGGTCCTAGGCTCTTGTGTGAGTCCCATTCTGGGCGTAACATGAGTTGTAGTTGCTGACTCCTCTCGAGGGCATCTCGTGATCAACTTTGCGTTGAGCAAGCTGTATATCATCAGTCTACTGTACACGCTCAACTGCATCAACGAGTATCGCCGCGCCCGAGAGCTGAGTGGTGGAGTCAACTCGTCAGGATCGAGGGGCCTCCATGGCCCATCTGTCAAGGTCTGGTCTCCCAGTCAATCTACTTACTGCCGTCCATCTCAACCCACCTCCAGCGCGGAGACATCGACCTCGTGCAAATACGCAAGCCCGGCCAGGTCCTCGTCGAGACCCAGATCATCACGCACATCTCCCCGTCGACTGGCGACATCGAGGTTTGATCCGGATGTACTCGTGTATCGATTTACGAGATCTGACGTCGGCTTAGGACCAGACTCACGCCAGTCAAGACGACGGCAAGCGCTCGGAGTGGCACTGAGTCAGACCAGAAGTCATGTTCACTCTTCCTATAGACGTCTAAAAGTTTAATAGTTGCCGTATTCTACTGTTATCACAAGAACCACTACCCTCGAATAGGATCGAAAATATTTTCGTGCTGGGATCAATCACGTGGTCGCGTTCGCGACGTGACTGACCAGACTCCTAAATAGGACAGGGCGGTCCATTCAAGCGTCTTCCAAGCACAGCCGCTTTCAAGACATGAATTAGACTGTCGCAGCACGCTCACGAGCTCCCTCTGCGAGACTGCGCGGGTCTACAATCCAGATGACGGCCGTGCTGTCATGGACCCCCTCGTCTTCATCGGTCAACTTCCCCGCAAGCCGAGCCGCCTTGACTTCTCTCATCAGCGCCTTGATGCTGTTCTTGTTGGCCGTCAACGTCGTCCACCCCCGGCGCGAGCCGAGTAGCATGCTCTTGACGGTGTGTGCGGTCAGTCGTCCGTTCACCCGGGTCACGGCGGCTCGTTGGCTTGCTGGGTTGCGCAGGAACCCGTTGTTGCTGTATTCGTCCACTGCACCGTCGGTCCCGGGTGATTCACCTAATGTCAAGATCCCGCAGCATGTCTTCTCCATCGCTCGGAAGAATGGTGCAGGTGTGCAGGTGCAGATGCTATTACCCTCGCTCTCGTCGTAGATGTTGATGGGAAGCAAGGGGATGTATCCGACGGGAAATCGCGAGCCAGCCCAGAACTGAGCTATGTCTTCGTCGGTGCCAGCACTGAACAAGTACTGCGCGCGTCGTTTCTCGCCCTGGCCACCGATCTTTCCTACTATCCGAACGAACCGCTCTCGAGCTTCGACGGTCGTCCAGAATTTGACGTGCGGAGATACCCTCGAGTGCAGCTCTTGAAACATACCCCCCTGACCCATCTCTTGCAACATCTCCTGCATGATTTGCGTCGTCAACGCCACGTTCTGTATGGAGGACGAAAGCCCGTATCGTCGCTGCGCCTCTTCTATCGAGGCCGGCAAGGATGTATGCGTCAGATCTGACACCAGTGCGATGAGTACCGACAAGTCGAGATTGACATTGACGCTCGGGGCCAGCTGCTGCTGGTCCACAGCGGGAATCGATGTCGGCGGTAACGTCCTTTTGACTGCCAATTCCTCTGCGCTCCGATCCCCAAGAGCAACGTCGATCCCCATATCGCGCAGCTTGTCGACGGTCTGGGATATCCGCGGGTCACCGCCGTCTGACGGGTCGAGGCGTGTCAGTCTGAGCGTCACGCGAGGGGCTTGAGCCCCGCCGAGCGTGTCAATGGGGTTGGCTTGCGCCGCCGCCAGCAGATCGCGGCCCATCCTGAGTACTGAGTTGTCGAATTCCGCGGGCGCTAGAGACGGCCCGTCGTCGTCGTCCGAGTCGGTCAAGTATGAGTCCATCTCGCGGAACTCGGACATGAGTCGGTTGTTTTTGATGCTATGAGCCGAGTCAGAATTGAGAGCCTGCGGGTAGTACGGGCGTCTACATACGTGTTGACTCTGATCCATCGCCGCCCGTTATCCGCGACGACATCGACCTTGACCGGGACCTTCTGCTTCTGCTTCCTGTTCACTGGACCTTTGGGAGAAAACAACCGGAGCACCGAGACGAGAATCGGAGGTGCACAAAGCACCTCATTCCATACGGAGATGAGATAGGGCGCGTTCGTGGAGAGAGGCGGCTGTTGTGCTGACTTCGCATCCTCTAGGAACTACTAATGGATGAAAGTGGGCAACTGCACATAGTCAACAGGATCGACAGCCCACATACCTTTTTCAAGACGTCAACGTCCACTTTGATAGAGTCTCTGAGCTGTTTGAGACCGGGAATGCTATCTTGTTGAAGCCATTGGTCGTCCGGGTCATTTTCGTCCGACGTGCCGAGCGATTCGGTGGAAGCGTCCAGGATGGGTGGGCGGACTGTAGTGGGTCGGAAATCAGACAAAGATGCATGGATAGATCGCAAGTTTTGTAGGACGAGATGGAGTTCAGGATGAGATCCAGTCATCGATGGACGCGGTCTAAGCGAAGTGAGAGAAATCATCAAGCATCACACAACAATCTGATCTCGTCTCTCTCGCCCATTGCACCCAGCGCTCTCACCTCAAGAATACGTTCATTTGTCAACTCAATCAAGCTTCAAATTTCAAACTTCAAGACTCGTCCACTGTATCAATCATTATACATATACACTGGCACTCCGCTCAGAGCAACAAATTGCACTCGAGTAACCATGCATTCCCATCCTCTAGTCGTCGTCGTCCTCGCTAGCTGCATGAACTCTCTTCAATCGATTACCGCCGCTTCCGCTTTCCCAGAGTCTCTTGATTTGAATGCAAGAGTCGAAGATGCAACTTGGCAATCGCCTGTCCCGATGCACTTTACCACCGATTCTCCGGAAACAAGATTTGACAAAGCTTTGCCACGCGATATCATCCAACCTCGAAGCACCCTCGAAATCCCAGATTCGCTTAGAGAACCCCAGACACAGGATGCGGACCATCATACCAACGGGCACCCACTCGCCGCTGATGGTGTCTCAGTCCAGGACGCGTCCGAACACACTCAGACAACCGGCAAACCGTCCACTGCTGTTCCTGGCGCTGGATCTTCCAATAAGATGGATGAGAAATGCGTTTTGCACACGTCCAAATGTGATTCCAGATCGATGATTACTCCCCGTCAGGCTTTGTCGCGAGAAGACAAGAGTACTGAAGAAACCCGGGAAGACACATACCTGCGCTCTGCTCGCGACGCGGATGATCACTGGTCGGGGATCCGTCGGCGACATGTCGAAGAGATCACGAACGCAAACAACCCCCGGTTCGATCACGCCCACGTTGTGCGTTTCGACAAGGGTGATTTGAGGAGGATGGAGAATAAGTGGCGGGCAGGAATACACTAATCTGAGAGTTGAGGATAAGATGCTACTTCCGTCTGGTTTTCTGATGCGAGGATGTATTGAGGATGTATGAGGGATGTGTCCGAATCTATCCAGATATTATTGTTATCTGTCCATAGCAGGCGTTTCATAGGAGAAAATGGGAGAACATTCAGAAGGGATATGGTTGAGAAGCAGGCGACGCAAGGTATCGGGAGGGAGATAGCGGCTGATTACATGGTTTATGCATGGCAAGCATTTCATCGAAGGTATCCAAGAGGGGGAACGATTGGAGATCAGGGCGGAGAGACAAAGACAAACCATGGTTATTAGAAAAGCACTTGGTAAGATGCAACTCGCTTGAACAATCTGATAGGCATGCACTGCGGGGGGACTTATTTTTTTTCCGTGGAAAATGCGTGACAATCTAGAAGTTCGATTTTCACCGTTCTGTTTTCAGACAAAAATTATACATTGAGAATAGACGTCGATTTACGGCTAGATCTTTACCACGAATAGACGTCTATTCCTCCTAAAAACAGGACTGTAAATAGAAGATCTTTTTTTTTATCGATTTTCACTGAGAATAGATCTTCTTTTTTCAGTGAAAAAAGATCTTCTTTTTTCAATGCCGATTCTCACGAAGAACAGACGTCTATTCCCACTGAGAATTGATCTGAAAAAAGATGATCTTTTTTCAGATCAATTCTCAGTGGGAATAGACGTCTATATCATCTTTTTTCAGATCAATTCTCAGTGGGAATAGACGTCTATTCCCGCGAAGAATAGACATTGAAAACAGAAGATCTTTTTTCATTGAAAAAAGATGCGAGTCGCAACGACTCGTTATGAGTCGGCACGACTCAATGAACAGTCGCAGAGCCGAGTCGATCTGCGAGTCCTCATACATGCTGCCGACATTATTACGCGACTATACCGACACTCTCTGACAGTTGGCACATTGCTGTACAGTGTACTGATCGATCACACCGCTTGCTCTGAGTCAGCCAATAGCTACCGCGGCCTCCGCCTCGCCGACTTCCCCACTATCGCCTGCCTTTCATGTCTCAGATCTACCAGATGACGTCGAGCTGAATTACCTGTCCTCATTCTCTATGCTGCTGGCTGGACTCATCCTCGAAATAACTGTCTGGCCCGCCATCCTGAACTTGAAGCTTGTATCTGCGCGCTTGTCCCCTCAAACACGCAAGAGCTGGTCTACTGCTTGGCAACATGATTCGAAACAACGCCATACCAGGAGTGCATCCGATGCTCCCAGGTAGCAAGCGGGAGAGAGCGGAATCCTGGCCCGCAAGCGTGCTGAAGCTATCAATCTGCTCTGTACAGAGCACAATATCGAAGCAAGAATGCGGGACTGAGTCTGAGCTCGATGAGATCGAGCTATCGAGACAAACAGGTACTCGCACTCAGCTACATCGCCCAACGCTTCCAACGCTTTCGACTCCATGCCTGTCTCAACCGCTGTGCAAAAGAAGATCGTGCGCTGTCTGCGCAGTTGCGGAACTGGGGGCATGTGAGTGGTTGAGGCCTCTGGCCTCTTTGATACCAGATGCTTACCTTGGGTGCAGGACACAAGTCGATCTCGACGTTATATCCCCCTCTCCGCTTCTCAAAACGTACGCGAAGGACGGACGCGGATGGGTGTATACGGTCGTCGCCATCCCTGAGACAACGCTCGAAGGCTACCTCACTGGTTCGCTCACCTCGTCCGATCTCTTTTCCCTCGCTCGTGTGAAGGCCGGTCATGCCGTCCACTTCCGATGCCGGCAAAGAGAGTACCGCCGATGCGAGCGATCCGGATACGCGTTGATCTGGCTGAAGTTGTATAGAGTGTCGAGACGAATGCGCTTTGGTGCGCTCCTCACCGCATGTCCGATTCGCTTTACTGACGCGTTTCAGAGCACATCGTTCATACCGCTCTGGACTCGATCGGCCAGCGGGCGAAGGTTCCGTGCAGCTGCAAAGGCTACACACGACTGCATCGCGAGTTTTGGAGGCTCTCCGACATTGGAGGCTTGGCCAGCCTGGAGCATATCATCGGCTTGTGCGCTAAGTCCGCTGGAGAATCGCTCATCAACTAGAGTCTAGACAGGTAAGTCCGGGATCTTTTACCGCAGATTATCTTTACTAATCTTCCATTGCAGGTGCTCGAGGTCGATGTATACATAGGATTCATGTACTTCAATATGAAATTCAGCTCCCTGGCTTCCATCCGCGTCCACTCAATCCGTTCATTCCCTCGACGACGCGCCATATGTCAGCCCCCAACCAGCTGATGCGGACGTGAAGGACAAACTATCCGAGCGAGAAGGACCCGAGCGTGCAAGCCGCGCACACCGGCATGCTCGAGCGCAAGAACCGCTTCACTAGAACCTATCGTGAGCACTACTTCGTGCTGACACCTGCATGGTTCCTGCACGAATACGCCAGCGCGGACCCGCTCGTCGCGTGCGCGAACCGGCGTTCGGCCCGTTTCCGTTTCTGCCACTGTGCACGCTCGGCCCACCGAGCAACGCCAGCGCGCAATCCAAGCTCCATATCGAGGGCGCGAAGGACGGCAGCGGCACGACGAAGAGCGGGACCATGCGCCGCTCGAATCAATGTGTCCCCACTCTCCTGATAGATTTCCTGGATGGCTTGCTCACGCTGTGGTCTGAAAGCAGTAGCAGAGGATAAATATATTGTGTGCTCGATACAACAGAGGGCTATTCGGGAAAAAATTATACAGAGGATGGGCGAAAATCGAGGGTCGTCGTAGGATGCTCAAGATATCGCCAGGTGGAGATGGCGGTTCAGATCCAAGGCGCAAAGACGGGTTGTTGGTGTTGACGGCGGTATTTGAACATTAGGTTGCAGCGGATCATGTGGCTGTGCAGTCTCAGCCACCCGACTCGCCATCAGTCGGCTGTGATCAAGCGCGGGACGTCCACCGGGGGCCCCTCCCGGCCAGTAATCCGGGGAAATTGTCTGTGAAAGGGGGACTGGGAAGTGATCCTCGCCCTTTGCTGCGATTGCCGTGGTCTATAGAGGATCAAAATATATGCGCAGGGCGCACCGTTATCTCCTGGGGTCTGTGCAGGTCGCACACAAGGCAGTAAATACGCACCGGATAGAATCAATGTGTCCCCACTCTCCGAATAGATTTCCGGAATGGCTTGCTCACGCTGTGGTTTGAAAGCAGTAGTAGAAGATAAATGTATTGTGTGCTCGATACAACAAAGGGCTATTCGGGAAAATATTATACAGAGGATGGGCGAAAATCGAGGGTCGTCGTAGGATGCTCGAGATATCGCCAGGTGGAGACGGCGGTTCAGATCCAAGGCGCAAAGACGGGTTGTTGGTGTTGATGGCAGTATTTGAACATTAGGTTGCAGCGGATCATGTGGCTGTGCAGTCTCAGCCACCCGACTCGCCATCAGTCGGCTGTGATCGAGCGCGGGACGTCCACCGGGGGCCCCTCCCAGCCAGTAATCCGGGGAAATTGTCTGTGAAAGGGGGACTGGGACGGCATTCTCGCCCTTTGCTGCGATTGCCGTGGTCTATAGAGGATCAGAATATATGCGCAGGGCGCACCGTTATCTCCTGGGGTCTGTGCAGGTCGCACACAAGGCTGTAAATACGCACCGGTGATAGGCTGGCTACCAGACGCGCTCTGCACCAGCTCTGTAAGGGCGTATTTTTGCGCTTTTTACAGAGTTTACTCTTGAACCACCCGGTGTATCGTGTCGCGGTTGACAGTGTTGCGCTCAGTAGGACTTATGGGTCTACTGCCCAGTCGACGACGGTGGGTAGTGTCGACGATAGCAAGGCAGTCAGACCACTACTGTGGAACTGGTCTTATGAGTCTACACCAGGCTCAGGGCCATTAGTGACGAACGCTTGGACCGCGACCATTCCCCAGAAAGGGATCTGTCGTTGCGTCGACTTCTCAAAAGGGTCATTCTCTGCGGATGGGAACTTGGGCTGAAGGGCTGAGCAATGCGCAACGTTCTCAATAATAGAACTACTACTGGACAGGACTTGGCGTTACGAGACTTAAACCATCTTGTCGCGGCAACTCCCGGTTTTGAGTTGGACGTTTCCTCAGATCATGCCACGACGACGACTTGTCACATGTCAGGATCCATTCGATCACGGGACATTGTGGACGCGTCGCGGTGACACTTCCAAGTGTCACGGCGAGTCGCGCCCATACCCAAACACACTAGAAACCGACACGGTTAGATCCGTGAACCGAACCATGTGGGGGACGACTGGCGTGCCTAGGGCCATACGGCTTCTTGGGGCGCCCACGTTGGTCTCACTTGCCAAGACATACCCGTTGGCCAATCCAGCACGTCGTATTCCAAAAGTATGACGCGGTGGGTTGACCCACATCAAAAGTATCATATGGACTATGGGGCGGGGTCCTGATCACTCAGGACCTGTCCGATCGTTCAACTTTTCAATTACCCTAAAAGGCAACCGATCTTAGATAGCGTAGCTACTATGCAGTTGTACAGGACTTTACTAAGCAGCGTCGTAGACAGTATAAGTAGCACGTCGTCTCTTTGTATTAGAAAGCTTCCCCTGGACTGTGAATCACTCTCATTTCAGATTGTTTCGTACAATTTGCGTGCCGCGTGATTCCACCCTAAGAAGTTCTGCTACCCCTGCCCGGTCGCGACGAGTTGCTCCCTGAGCACTTGTAGCTACTGTGATTTGAGTTTGAGTTGAGGCATCAGAAAGTCGGATTCGCCGCATCTGGTTTAGTCGCGGCATTTAGTGTCGTCGCCTTTGGGCTTTGTTGAGATCGTTCCACACCTCTAGTTTGGCAGTGCGTCGACTAGTTGTGCTCGGGTTGTTTTGGTCAGTTGGCAGTGCGTCGACTTGAGAACTTTGGTTCCACACTTCTTGCTTGGCAGTGCGTCGACAAGTTGTGCTCGGGTTTTGGACATTGGATATTGGCTGTTAGTTGGCAGTGCGTCGACGCGGCATCTTGGTTCTACTAGTTGGCAGTGCGTCGACTCAGTACTTTGGGTTGTGTCAGTTGGCAGTGCGTCGACTTGACATTTTGGTTTACTAGTTGGCAGTGCGTCGACTTGATATTTGGGCTTTGCGTCACCATCTGGACGCTGTCGCTACAAGGGATCTTAATACTTCGTATTAAGTTCTGACTTGTTATATTGTTGTTTGTGGATTGGATTAGTGTTGGTTGTGTTCGTATAG